CCCCTGGGTCCGCCACTGAGACTTACTCGATTTCACGACGGATTTAGATCAAAATGTATACAAGGGTCAAGTATGAGAGTATCGAAGGCCAAGGCCAAGGTCACTGTTGCTGCCTGATGTATAGATAATCAGCAAACGATTAAGTGTCATCGCTCTAGCTACTTTCTTAACAGATTTTGATCAAGGTTTATACAAATTTTAGATATAAGAATACTCATATTTTCGTGTTCCAAAGTCATTGTAATTATTTACAGAATATTATCAAACACTGAATCTAATTCCACATGGCAGCGGGCGCATTCATGTCCTACAGACATTTTCTAGTTTTATTTTCTCTGATTGGCGAATTTAGGTCTATAATTTGAGTGCTCATTGACTGGCTTTTTCCATGCCTTATGGAAGAGGAAAGGGGATTAATCTAAAGGATCAAACGACTGACATTAAATTAACTGTCCGCTAACCTTCGCTCTTTTTTTCTTATCAGGATATAACTGGCATTTTTTTTACTTTTCTCACATAGGAAAAATTACCAATTTTCCGTTAATACCAAACTTGGGGTGCGTTTATATAATTAGTGACACAAAAAGGAATTAAATTTGATTTTCTTACGTGCCGTAAAGAATTCGATGATTTCGTAGTATCAAATGACGATACTTCTTGTTAAATTTTGGCACGCTTCTCCTGTTATAACGATAATTTTCTGTTAATACTACGTATACTTCTTAAATGAATTATAATGTCGTTTAGAATACCAAGTGATCATTCTCGATATACAGGGGCAGAGAGCGAAAGTGATATCGAGGATGATCAAGTGACGTAATCGATCTTTATCATTTGACAGCACGTGTATCGTATACGCGTAGTATTGTGTAAATAGTGACCTCGAGCTCTGACCCTGTCAACACATACTCGGCATGACTTCAACCTTGCATGCGGTGAGATAAGTAGCAGTCGGGAAAAGGCTTCACACGTCTATTCCTACCAATATTCTTAAAATATTTCTGATATTTTATGATTTCAATTTTAACTGCAGTTTTGCCGACAGATTGCGGCATCGTAGTTTTAAATAAAGTTTTAGGGTCCAATATGGTTCCAGCGGCCTCTACCTGGCCAAGACATTTCGGGCTTTATCTTGAATATGCATGACTGGGTTGACTCGGTGCATGCTTTGTAGAAGCCATTCGACTTTTAAGCTTCCTTTTAGACGGGTTATCATTGTCTCTAACTAGCCGAGGCACTTAGGGATCTAACTCGAGTTCGTTTGATATTTTTATATTTTATGGGAATACCGCATAGCGAATATACTCACTGGGTCTTCTTGTACGAAAGGGAAAACGTATTTATGCGTTGGAAATGATGAATTATAGTAAAATTTGTATACTAATTAATTTGTTCCTGGAGCTAAAAAAGAATGCTGGTAAAAATAAACGTTACTTTATTGATACCTGCAATATCAGATCAAGTTTTCGATAGAACTGTTTAGTTCAGCTATGGCTGTAGAAGCAAGTGGAGTGGATATTCTATCTACAAATCTAATTCCTGCCGACGTGCTTGATATTGACAAAACCCTATGGAAAGCCCTGAAAGCTACAGGGAATGGCGATTGTCTTTACAACAGCGTTTCCATTTTAAATAATGGTCAGAGCCAATGGCAATTTTAAGAATGAAAAAAATGTTTTTAAAACCGAATATTATTTTCATATATGCGAAACTAGATTATACTACGTGTCGAGTGACTTAACTTTTCTGGTCCCCACTTTTTAATCTGATCAAGAAATATTTTTCAAATTGCATTGACATTTTTGTGTATACACATAATATGTAGCTAGGCAACACACATATTTGACTGACCAGGAATTTTCTTTNGGGGGGGGAAACCCCCCTTACGGGTCATTGTAACCAGGGATGTGTAGTGACCTAGACCGTTGGATATGATCAGTCAGTCTGTGATCAAGGTCCTGTAGGTGTTAAGATAATAAAGTCTGGAAATGAAATTCACACAATTGGTCACTCTCACATTTACCTATAATCTTGTCACCCCATCATGGGTTCCAGTGGCAGTAAGGGTTTATAAATATCTGACAGACGACAAGGCGATTTTAGTAACCTTGCTTCGCCTTCACTTCGGCATCCTCGACACTCCAGGTCAGGATTTGCTAGCTTCGTGCCTTCAGTTTTGTATGACATATTCCAGGGGTGCAGAGATCTAGCGAAAGTGAGCGTAACCCCTGGAGTGTCGAGGATGTCACTTCGGTTGCCTCCCATAGATTCGGTTCATCTGGTATAAATATTATGATAATATGCCATTGAAGATATAGAGCAACGCTTTTGTTTGGTTTACATTATATTGATATGTTTGGAAAGGCAAAATATCGTTTACTGAGGTCGGGTGTTGGGCTCTACTATACAATGAGTTATGGCCTTTTTTTAATTCTCATAACAAAGTTTGCCCCGAACTATAGACGTACAAAGCAGTATGTAGCATAACTTTCTTACGTTTATCAATAGTAACCAAACTTGTCCTACTTATATATACCAGACAGAGGATCGTCGTGTATTAAAATAGGGTCTAATTAGGATGAAGTTGGGTATTGTACCCGAAGATATAGGAGTTGTTGCCCTATGTTCTTTTTCGACACGAACGTTTGTTCAGAGGATGGCTTCCTTACTTTTCACCTCCATAGAGTACTGAAGTTAGCTGTGTGTTCCAAAATGAAAATACAGAGCTCGTTAATGTTGTATACCAAAGTTTGTCGAGAGCGTCTCTTCCTTACTATCTCACCTACATTTACCTCTGTAGCCAGGCCTCATGCCCTAAAATGTACACATTTTGGTCCATTGCGACATCAGTGTAGTCCACTTAAATATGATCATTTTAGAGTAAATCCGGTTGATAGTCCAGTTTGTTATTGTGGCCATCCCTGTGAAAATGCCTTTCACTTTTTTGGTGAAACGAAAGACACATCCTGCTCCAAGGGTGTTGCCGGGCAACTAGGGCAACAAAAGTTTGACTACTTTTGTTTGGTAATAGTCAACTTTCGGTAGAAAACAACATAAATATCTTTAGACATGTGCATCATTACATCAAATCCAGCAATAGGTTTTGATAGTTATAATTACTTTTCTATTTTTATTTATGTGTAAGTTCTTAAATGTGTTTATGAAATTGTATTTCATTATTTTGCCTGATTTCTTACATTGATTCTGTTCATTTTGAAATTACTCTACCAGGATGCATGTCATGAAATCTGTATAATTTATAATTTATTCAAATGCGGATCGATTTCTCAGTTTACAAACTTACTTTTCTAGGTAACACCCCTCCCCTCCATCACCCCCACCCCCTCCCACCCCACATTTCCTTCTCCACCCTATCTTTTTCGATTTCCCCAAAAACATATACACTATTTTTACCATATGTATTGAGGAGAGGACTCTATTAAGTTGTAATATTTGTACAATAAAATATGTTTAAACTTAAACCCATCAATAAATTGAGTTATGGTCCTTTGTTCATGACAATCGTTTTAATACAAAAGTTTGTTTGCAGCATATCTTCCTCGCTACATTGCCTACATTCACCAAATTTGCTATACTGTGTATCTCCAGAAGGTAGAGTGTCATATTCTGAAATAGGGGTCTGGTGCCACACTCTATATACAGATTTGTCCCTCCCTTGAATTTGATACCAAAGTTGATTCAAATCACAATTTCCTTACTATTTCACCTACTTTCACTAAACTTGCTGAACTCGAGTAACTTAAGAAGCAGTGTGTATCATACAGATATCATGTCTAGTGTTCTACTATATCGGAGTTATGGGCCTTTGTTCATTTTTTATATCAAAGTTTGTCCATAGCATATCGTCCATGCTATATCCCTTACATTCAGCAAACTTGCTGTACTTGTTTATCTGCAGAAGGCTGAACGCCAGATACTGAATTAGTGTTTTGACCTAAACTTCGTACAGGGTTATACGTACAATGTACCATAACTCTTTGATCATTTTGATACCAAATTTTGATCAGAGCATAACTTCCTTACTACTGTATTATACTTACATTCACGGAACTTGTTATACTTAACATATCCTGGGAAGACAGAGTGTCACATACTGTAATTGCATCTTGTTCACATTTTGATAGAGTTATGGCCCTTTGTTCCTTTTTGATTTATTTTTTAAAGATTTGGAATAATGGTGAATGGAGGAAATCCCTATGCAGAATGTTGGAAATTGCAAAGCTAATCCAGAGCACTTTGTCTTATTATATTGCTAGTGAAATACAGTATATTTTCTTATTTCAACACATCCAAGAAATCTTTTTCTTTCCTGAGTAATATACTGTAATATACTGTAATGTATTTTTTGTTATGTTTAATGATCAATATTTAAATATATTTTGCTACTTAATGCATCAGAAGAGCTATGAGCACGACACATTTTGTGACACAAGGAGTCTATATGGATGCTGCCAGGCAGGTGATGGGTGTGTTGTGTTCTGCCCCTGTGGTAGTCTTGTTATTTCTGTCTTGGTTTCTACTCCTGCTTCACGCTCAGCAATTTAGGAGTGGGACGACTGGTTAGCCCGTTGTCAGTATAATGTGACCGGGTGAGGGGTCCTGCTGGGTTCTTCGGCAGTATGTTTCAGTGAGGTAGCACTATAAAGTCGGCATCAGTTTCGCGCTATCACAAGGAGACAAACATGAATATATTGCAGCCTCCCAAAACACACACGCATACATTACAAGCATGCATCTTGCACACAGGAAAGGGCCTCCTTAAATGACCATAGCTGTTGATAGAACGTTAAATAATACTAAACCAAACCAAACCAAACTAACTCAGGACTGAATCAAGTACTCAAGGCACCTCTTTGTAAGGACAAGGCTCCTTTGGCTCATTACCACAGGTGATATATGGTGATAATAGTGATGTGATATGGGGATATAGGTACAGAAGTATATTTGGCAAGAGAGAAATTTTAAAACAACATCTGAACAACATCTGATCTCCTCATTTATTCATCTTGTCATACAGCATGGACCACACAGTGACCACACCGCCCACACAGTGATATCTATTGAGAGTAAAAATGCACCAACATTATACAAACTGTGTTCCATTCATCCTAATGGCGTACTGGTAAAAAGAAGGAAAATGAAACGAAACCTTGAAGGTTGTCACAACACTATTTTCTATGTATCTTTGTCACAGTCTTATGTCAATAAAATAGTTAAGGTACATTGTTCATCATTATTTCCCCACATTTAAATAAACTTCATTTGTAATACAGAACACTGTTGACAAGTCCTAGTATAATGTCACATCTCATGCCTCAATGTTTTCTAATAACAAAGGTCGAGTAGAAAAATCACAAGTCCTCCTCCGGGTTAAAGGAACCTTCAAACATTTCCATGTAAACGTCCAGTCACGCTTTCTTTGACATGTCGTAGGCATCCTGTAACGATAATAATAAACATCCGTGACAAGTCAGATTATTATAAGCATAATTAAATTAACAAACTCAAACTTTAGTGGAACAAAAGGGGTACGATTTATAAGCCTACTCTCAAATCAGCAGAACTGCAGTAACTTAATTCATGTATAATAACAAATGTTTTCTGAAATTGACTTTAACATCTATGGTATGGTATGGATAGCCTGTACTATATGGTCCTATTTTAGAGGTAGACATGAACTGGTGAACAAAAAAAATATGAAAGCTGCTGAAATTGGACTACTGTTAAAATTAAGTATGTGTACAGTACCTCCATTTTATTAGAATTAAAGAAATTTATAGGTTTAAGAATTTGTGACAAATTTCATAAATTTCATGTGAAAAGGAAATAACTTTATGATCCATTTTATCAAATGATCAAGTAAAAGAATTTTCAAAAATATTGCAAATGTTTTTTCAGGTTTTAAATTCTACAATTTTTGCTAACATCTGTTTTCTCTATTTTGACATAACAATATTAAGCTGAAAGTCTGTGAAGCAATTTCATAATCAGATTATGACATCACCATTATTCCTATGCATAAAATATATGACTTGTGTGATCAATTAATAACATGACAATGATGTAATTAAGTTGTGTGTGACATTCACTCAATGAAAATGGAAGGAAACGGTAACGTTTGTATGTCAACAAGAAAGGAATGGTACACAGAGCTTCTACGTGATGTTGACCTACCTTACGAGCGTCATCTACACAGGACGTAAAGGCTCGGACCTGTGAGGAGCAGTTCAGCGTCTGTTCGGGGTTGTTTTGGTAGCAATGAAACACATCTTGCTGAATGTCCTGACAGACGGGTGATCCAGTGTTACGCCTATTGGAAACAAGAAAGTAACCACATGAAATAAGTTCATAATTTGACAACCGTGCTAAAAAAGTCTTAGCACAGAATTATTCGAACATCAGGAGTTTCAGAGTACAGAGTTGAAGATTACAGTTATGTCATTCTTCATCTTAATACAAATGTAGTGACAAGACATACTCACATAAATTTGTTTTCTACTTCGTCCATCGCCTGACTGAATTCTTCTTTCTGCGTCTGTAGTTGTTGCTCACTCTACAAATGTAAAATAACGTTATTAGATTAAATATATTCTATTAATAGCTCATATCACTAAAGAGAAGGTCAACTTGTACTTAATCTCTTTGAACTGGTCCATTAAGTATGTTTGAATGATTTGGTTTGGTTGTTTGTGTTTTACGTCCTATTAACAGCTATGGTCATTTAAGGACATGCCAGGTTTGCATGGGGGAGGAAAGCTGGAGTTCCCCGAGAAAAACACCCAACTAAGAAGGGGCTAGTATCTGGCGACCGCCCCACATAGGTCTCAAACCCGCGACCCAGTGGTGGAGGGCTAGTGGTACCAGAATGTCAGACGCCTTAACCACTTGGCCACTGCCCCTCCCCCCTCCTGTTTGAATGAAACTAAATACATGTATATGCACAAATGGAGAAAAAAACACTTAATGGATTAGAAAACTAGTCTAATATTAAGTTATTAATTGGCATAACTTTCAAAAACTGGCTTATTACTATTTTCATTACCGTACTATAATTTTTAATAGACTTGTTTTCAACATCAGCTAAGGATTTGCTTTCACCATATAAAAACAAATGTTCTTTTGCAAGAATATGTTCCACAAAACAGAACTATTAACTTGAAATTCTAACATTTCTGGTTTCTTTTCAAGGTCTTCTCAAAGTCAAATGAAAATGGCTCATGAGCACAAATGGGTCTTGCCAGACTATCAATTGTTAACTTAAGCAATCAAAAGGCTGCATCCTGTCAGCATCACCTCGTGGAATAACAAGTGGACCTAGCTGTCAGACTGTCAGTATGGAAATATCATTGCAATAATGCCCTCTGCCTATATTCAGCACAAGCTCATGATTAATGACACCAAATAACCCTACTGATAAATACCAGCGACTCCAACCACTACATCACCGGCACTCCCCCAAACATATTTGGCAACCCATCAGCCTTGCATCAATCAAATTGTATACTAATGATAGAAGTTCAAGGATCAAATAATATGATTATTTATGACAATCAAAAAGAACACAGCAGCAATAACAAAAATCTGACCTGTTCCTCATATTTTTGCAGTCTTGATTTTGCTTGTGCTTCCTTCTCTTCCATCATTTTCAATTTCTCTTCATATGCTGATTCAATTTGTCTTATTCTACGAGATGGAATCGCATAATCCTAAAACAAAATATTCTGATTAAATTACAACATGTATACCAGTAAGTACATTGTAGAAACAAATTCAACCTAAATGTTCTTTCTAAGACACCATACTTTAATAACTTTCACAATTTTTCTGATGAAACTAAATGTGTTTGGTGAGGTTGCACAATTAAAAAGTTATAGAAAAACTATCAATATTGAGACTAACTGTCGCATATCCATTGTAATGAAAAATTTGTCCTCATTACTAAGAAGAAAAAGGTGAAAGTAAAACCTGTCATATATATTTTTGTTCCTATAATGATATTTTTATCCTTGATACATGCACTTGATTTCTGATCAAGAATAAAACATGTAAGCAAGACTGACCAAATCACACAATGTAAAGAAATCTAAACATTTTCCCTAAATACTATAAGGGAGGGACGCATTAAAAAGATATGTAAAAAACAGTTTAAAATCAGTCAATTTAACTTTGGGATGGAATGAGAAGAGGTTAAAGTTACTAGTTCATGAATAAAAAGAATAGTTTGTATGTGGACTTTTATGTTGGGTCTTAGACTTAGGGTAACTTTCCATAGTTTTATTTCTAAATCAACATAATTTCCTTTAGTGTGATAATGTCTTAAAACTATTTGCTAAAATCTTCAATGACTTACCAGTTCCATTCCACTTCCATCTTCAGGTTTTGTTTCAGGTTCTGATGCTGTTGAAAACAAACAGTAAAACACATTACAGAATCGGTCATTCTAACCACTGGCTTGATAATTCTCTGTACTGATAGTTTATGGTTTTACAGCAGAAATACTTATGTTAAATGGACGTGTACCACATCCATGGAACATCACATTAACAATCACCAGGAATGGCTTCTTGTGAGGAGAGGTTTGAAGGATAATATGCAAAGTCAAGGGTTTTTGGCAGAATATAACTATTTGAAATGAACAGAAAAACAAATTATCTGTAAATTTTGTTACTTTGTCAATGAGCATATACATTTTTGCATATTAGGGTATACAGCGATAAAAAAAACAGTTTTTATTTGAATTAGATAACTCCGTTATCAGGGAAAATCCTGGGATTTGAGAGCAGTGGGTCATTTTCAGAAATTCTAAGTCAGTATCAAAATTAAGAGGGGCCATTCCATGTAAAATTAAAAGAAAATTGGAACATAGAGGGGTCAATTTCAGTTTTGATGGGTCAATGGCCCCCTCCAGGATTATTCCTGCATTATGACTAGGGTCAGTTTTTATCTACTCCTTTTAATGAAGGTCATCACTCATATTTGTTGGATTCTTACCTTTCTCTTTACTAGTTAATCTCTTTAATACACCTTGTGTGACCTGAAATTGAAATTTCATAGTTCAAAAGTTTCAATTAAAGCCCATGATTAATATCTATAGTACAAATGTTATTACTGTGATCGTTTATTATTTAGCTATAGACCCATCTTTGGGTAAGAATTGGTTTCAATGAAACATAGGATCTTACACGAGTTTCCATATCATATGAAATGAAAATGAGAATACATGATCAAGATTTGTGGCATTTATTTGTATAAAACAACAATTTTCATGCAACCTTGAAACGTAAAAAGCTGTGTAAGTCTGCGATGTCAGACACTTGTCCTAGGCTTGATGTCACAATTGAAACAATTGAAACTTACAACCAATCACAGGGCTGATAGGTCATATTACATGGATTAATACGCAAAAAAAATAAATATGACATGGGTATATTCACTGGATAACAGAGCACATTATGTGATAAAATACACTATAAAAACTCCTTATAATTCCGATTGTTGTACTCCTTTTATAATTTTATAATTAAGGTGTTTTGTCCTTAAACAGTGAACTGAATTATATAAACTGAAACTTAGATTTAGAGCCTACAACCTCCCGTTGATCTTTAGAGAAGTGTTTGAAGATTCATGGAATTTAGTTGAAAACTTGGGTCTGGAACCGACACACAAGTCAAATATCTGATATATACTAGCATTGACCTTCGCTTCCACTGTTATTCAGAGATTGATGTCAGGTAAAATTTTGTGAAATCTGGTTGAACATTTAGTTGGGAAGCTGCAGACACACCGAATGATGACATGCAGATGGAAAAATAGACAGGAAAATGACAATTTACATCCATGAAATGTGAATATAAAAATAAGTAATGTTTAAGTAAAACTTTATTGAAGGTAATTAATAAAAGTTAAGTGCAAGGCTAAGATAGCATTCTTTTACTATTTTCTAGCAGCTTAGTCAGTATACACTTCATTTTAACGATATATTCTTCAATCTGGTCACCATTAATCGACCAATTCCAATCTAGATATGCTACTCTTCCTTCTTTTATTTAAAAGCCTATGCATGTCAGATCTGAAGAAAGGTGAACCAGATTGAATCATTTGCCTTCAGGAGGATCGACTGTACATTTTGAGGTTCAGAGGGACTTTTTGACTTAAAGAAGGATAGTTGGCATGTTTATAAACGTTGCATATTAGAGGAAAACATACTGAAACAGCACTGTACTGTACAGTAGTGATATGCCCGTCTTTCAGTCTTTTCTGGTTTGTGAATATGAAATTGACAGTCGCTAGGAAAACTTCCTGGTCATGCAAGAACTGGTTAGGTTGTATGATTGCAAAGAAAATTTACCATAATATCGTCCCTGTCCACAACCATGGTTCGTTTGCTGTCAGATGCCCCCATGTTGTCGACTATCAAAACTCGTCTAAGTCACCTTCTCACCGGCGAATTTACCGGAAGTAAACACCGGAAGTAGCAGTCGGATAGGTGTAATGCAAAGAGAAATCTGCCGGACGATCTAATGCATGTATACATGTATATTGTAGTACCAATATGAAGTTAATTTAAGACAGTTCTATGGGACCAATTCTAATTATGTATCTTTACCTCAATGTATTCAGATATGTCTTGAATGTTTTCAAAAAATATGTTTTAAAAGCTTCTTTTCTGTTTGAAAGCTGAAAAAAATGTAATTTGCCTCATTTTTCTATAATGCTTGGAATAACTCAACTTCCTTTTTGAAGGGTTATAGGTCAAATGTCAGTAGGTAGTCATCCAAATTGTGGTGTATTATAGATTTATCTTACTGTTCTTGAAATTGTTGTATGTTTTAGGAAGCTCATGTCTTAAAGCTTGTTTTTCTCCTTTTTCTTATTTTTAAAAAATCTGATAGCCTTCTCATCTGAACAAATCCGAGTTGTGAATTAAAATGTAATCCCTGGCTAGTGAAAATGGATCTAATTTAGTATAAGAAGTTACCTTTAAATAATCAAAGAGAACAGTTAGTGATTCCTTTACTGTAAATTAGGGTTTTAGGGAAATGGTAAGGAACATAATATTTAGTCATTGACATCATACATATAACGATTTGAGCGGGAGACTCATGAAAATTAATTTCGAAAAATTCTTCATGACACGAGACACATTTCGCACGAAATTCAATCGGTCTCACGAAAAGAAACAAAGTTTGGTCAATCTTAGTGAATAAACAATAGCCACATGGAATCACACTGACCTTGGTTACTGAGAGGTCTTAAGTCACAGGCCAGCCACTTAAATTACAGGCCAGGCAAATTAGCAGCATTTAGCACTCTCTAAGTTGGACTGTAGTGTGACCATGTTTAGCCTGCCTCGTTGTAAATTGACAAAGTTATTCCTCCTGAATAATAAACCTTCTTTACTCAAACTAGTATGATTTTTAATCTTCATTTTGGAAGTCCTTCTGGATATAAAACAGGGTTAAATATATAATTTATTACTTGTACGTTGAAATATATTGTTGGATTATGATATCAATATAAAAGTGTAATCATGCACTCCAGATTTGTCGGTGATAACACATACAGGTTTTATTTTGTACACGGCAACCTTAGAGAGGTCGCATGAATAATACTAATTCCTCCTCACTGAACATATATTTAGTGTTCCTTCTACATGTACTAAAATCTCCATTCATCAATGGAGAGTGGCGCAAGAAACTTGTAACAGAGGAAACATCACTCATAATTCATATATTTTTTGTTGGCGGTTCTAAAGGGATAACAAGCATCTCTTCACAAAGATCTAAGTACACTTACACTAACACTATTTTTGCAAGGATATATACCAACTGCACATTGTTTTATAATCACTATCTTTATATTGCAAAGCGACACGTCAAATATTTAAATTCAGGTCAAGCCAGGTCAAGGTGGTGCTACTTTTATACAACTCTTACAAAATCTTAAGACTGTGACCAAGTCACCCACATATGGAGTGTACAGAAGGTGGTGCTACTTTTATACAACTCTTACAAAAACTAAAGACTGTGACCAAGTCACCCACATATGGAGTGTACATAAGGTAGTGCTACTTTTATACAACTTCTACATATGGAGTGTACAGAAGGTGGTGCTACTTTTATACAACTCACACATATGGAGTGTACAGAAGGTGGTGCTACTTTTATACAACTCACACATATGGAGTGTACAGAAGGTGGTGCTACTTTTATACAACTCTTTCAAAAACTCAAGACTATGACCAAGTCACCCACATATGGAGTGTACAGAAGGTGGTGCTACTGTTATACAACTCATACATATGGAGTATACAGAAGGCGGTGCTACTTTTATACAACCTATACATATGGTGTATACAGAAGGTGGCGCTACTTTTATACAACTCATACATATGGAGTATACAGAAGGTGGTGCTACTTTTATACAACCCATACATATGGTGTATACAGAAGGTGGTGCTACTTTTATACAACTCATACAAAAACTAGAGACTGTGACCAAGTCACCCACATATGGAGTGTAAAGAAGGTGGTGCTGCTTTTATACAACTCATACAAAAACTAGATACTGTGACCAAGTCACCCACATATGGAGTGTACAGAAGGTGGTGCTACTTTTATACAACTCATACAAAAACTAAAGATTGTGACCAAGTCACCCACATATGGAGTGTAAAGAAGATGGTGCTACTTTTATACAACTCATACAAAAACTAGATACTGTGACCAAGTCACCCACATATGGAGTGTACAGAAGGTGGGGCACTTTTATACAACTCATACATATGGAGTATACAGAAGGTGGTGCTACTTTTATACAACTCATACAAAAACTTAAGACTGTGACCAAGTCACCCACATATGGAATGTACGGAAGGTGGTGCTACTTTTATACAACTCATACAAAAACTAAAGACTGTGACCAAGTCACCCACATATGGAATGTACGGAAGGGGGTGCTACTTTTATACAACTCATACATATGGTGTATACAGAAGGTGGTGCTACTTTTATACAACTCATACAAAAACTAAAAGATTGTGACCAAGTCACCCACATATGGAATGTACAGAAAAAGTACTCAAAACACAACACCGTATTTATAAAGTTTAATGTATAGTTTGTTTTGTCATAATGCAAAATGTGTTTAACATACATGTATGTATCTCATCCTCGTCATTCTTCATAATCTTCAAAACATTTGTGCCAAATAATACATATTTTACATAATGTTCATCATTTACATTTTAGCTATGACAGCATAGCCAATATTCAATGCAGTGTAGTCAAACTTAAAACAACTACATGTCACCCTGGTAAACCTACTAACTGGGCTAGGGAGAATATTTCTCTAGCTAACCAGAAATCTTGGGTTTGGCATCAAATGGAAGTTTGGAAAAAAATAATGGCCTCTGTTACATTGGTACCCAAGTAGAGACCCAGGAAATATTGGCAAAAATACTCAATGATACTTTCACAAGAATCACTATGATTCCTTGAAAATATTTGGAGTGAGTTTTTCCTGGAGAGGGACCCGTGAGTATGTCACACTGGTTAAATACTACCTGCTTCCTAGCGACTTTTCTAAGGAGAATTTCTCTTTGGCTCATTCACAGATCATTAGACTACCGCAGTAAAGCAGTAGATCACAAAGTAAGTAAACACCATACCTTGGGTTAAACTCCTAGCGGATGCATTGAAAATCACGACCTCTGATACATACAATGGTTTTTACCTCTATTTCCCCTATTGGGCCCCGCAACTCTGCCCACACAGGTCGAAACCACCGTTTATACAAAATTTACTCCCCTTTGCCCAAGGATGCTCCTGATCAAATTGGGATATAATCCCTTTTATTCCTATGGTAGGAGAAGGATTTCAAAGGTGTTTACATTTATTTCCCCTATTTGGCCACGCAACTCTGCACACAGGGGGCCCAATCCACTTTACACAAAACTGAGTTCCCTTGGCCCAAGCATACTCCAGACAAAATTGGGATGAAATCCCTTAATCCCTATTGTAGCATAAGGATTTCAAAGGTTTTAACCTCTATTTTCCCTATTGGGCTCTGCCCCCAGGAGGGCCACGCCTTCCATTTTACAAAATCGAGTCCCTTTTGTCAAAGGATGCCCCAGACAAATGAGGATAAAATTCTTTTATCCCTTCAGTATTAGAAGGATTTTAAAAGCTTTACATGTACCTGTATTTCCCCTATTTGACCCCACCCCTCTGCCCAAACGGGGCCACACCCGCCGTTTAAACAAAATTGAGTCGTCTTGGTCTAAGGATGCTCCAGACCAAATAAGGATAATATACCTTAATCGCTACGGTAGAAGAAGGACTTTAAAGTTTGTTACCTCTTTTTCCCCTATTGGGCCCCGCAACTCCGCCCCCAGGGAGTCTACACCCGCCGTTTATACAAAATTGACTCCCTTTGACCCAACAATGCTCCAGACAAAATTGGGATGAAATCCCTTTATCCCTATGGTAAAAGAAGGATTTTAAAGGTTTTACCTCTATTTTCCCTATTGGGCCCCACCTCTCTGCCCCCAGGGGGCCAAACCCACCATTTATACAAAGTTGAGTCCCCTTGACCCAACAATGCTCTAGACAAATTTAAGATGAAATCCCTTTATCCCTACAGTAGAGGGTTTTCAAAGGTTTTACCTCTATTTCCCCTATTAGGCCCCACCCCTCTGCCCCCAAGGAGGTCCACACCTACCGTTTATACAAAATTGAGTCCCCTTGGCCTAAGAATGCTCTTTTCCCCTATTGGGCCCCGCAACTCCGCCCCCAGGGAGTCTACACCCGCCGTTTATACAAAATTGACTCCCTTTGACCCAACAATGCTCCAGACAAAATTGGGATGAAATCCCTTTATCCCTATGGTAAAAGAAGGATTTTAAAGGTTTTACCTCTATTTTCCCTATTGGGCCCCACCTCTCTGCCCCCAGGGGGCCAAACCCACCATTTATACAAAGTTGAGTCCCCTTGACCCAACAATGCTCTAGACAAATTTAAGATGAAATCCCTTTATCCCTACAGTAGAGGGTTTTCAAAGGTTTTACCTCTATTTCCCCTATTAGGCCCCACCCCTCTGCCCCCAAGGAGGTCCACACCTACCGTTTATACAAAATTGAGTCCCCTTGGCCTAAGAATGCTCTTTTCCCCTATTGGGCCCCGCAACTCCGCCCCCAGGGAGTCTACACCCGCCGTTTATACAAAATTGACTCCCTTTGACCCAACAATGCTCCAGACAAAATTGGGATGAAATCCCTTTATCCCTATGGTAAAAGAAGGATTTTAAAGGTTTTACCTCTATTTTCCCTATTGGGCCCCACCTCTCTGCCCCCAGGGGGCCAAACCCACCATTTATACAAAGTTGAGTCCCCTTGACCCAACAATGCTCTAGACAAATTTAAGATGAAATCCCTTTATCCCTACAGTAGAGGGTTTTCAAAGGTTTTACCTCTATTTCCCCTATTAGGCCCCACCCCTCTGCCCCCAAGGAGGTCCACACCTACCGTTTATACAAAATTGAGTCCCCTTGGCCTAAGAATGCTCTTTTCCCCTATTGGGCCCCGCAACTCCGCCCCCAGGGAGTCTACACCCGCCGTTTATACAAAATTGACTCCCTTTGACCCAACAATGCTCCAGACAAAATTGGGATGAAATCCCTTTATCCCTATGGTAAAAGAAGGATTTTAAAGGTTTTACCTCTATTTTCCCTATTGGGCCCCACCTCTCTGCCCCCAGGGGGCCAAACCCACCATTTATACAAAGTTGAGTCCCCTTGACCCAACAATGCTCTAGACAAATTTAAGATGAAATCCCTTTATCCCTACAGTAGAGGGTTTTCAAAGGTTTTACCTCTATTTCCCCTATTAGGCCCCACCCCTCTGCCCCCAAGGAGGTCCACACCTACCGTTTATACAAAATTGAGTCCCCTTGGCCTAAGAATGCTCCAGACCAAATTGTTAAATTCCAATCTGCGGTTAAGAAGAAGAAGTCGTTTAAAGAAATTGTTGACATGGAGGTTGACCACATATTTGAAGCCCTCTATCGACAACCATACAAAATATATAGTTTGTCACATTGGTGATGAATTAAAATGTTTATGTTGTACTGTGTAAAAATGGAAATTTTCGCAGTGTGATGATGTTCACATTTATCATGTAAATTAGCATGTAAATATTCACACACATCATTTATAGATAACAGATATATAGATTTTATATTGCCAATGCAAAAGCTCCCATGCCACAATCAGTTTAAAGTCACAACACCACAATTTCCACATGCAAAAAGATAAAAAAATTCAGTATGTAACATTGTGATTAATCTTATATTCCAAATATTTTTTATCCCATAAGTTGATGATGAATTGTATACTCTGAATGTATTATTTTATAACTTATACTTGTGAAAAGTTCTTTATTGTGATTAATATCTTGTACATCATATTGGTCATAAATTCTATATTCCAAATACTGTATTGTAAACCTAGCACCGGTGATACATGTATTGATTTTATATTCTGAATATTAAAAATCAATCCTAAAATTGGTAATAGATTACACATATCTATTACATACTACTGGTGTTGTATTCCAAAAAGGTGTCAGTTAACAGTTCCACAGGTTTCCATTATGAGTAACATGACAGTTTCAAATGTATATAAATTGTTGTGTCAAATTTCTTATTCAAAATACATCAAAGTGTCAATATCATGGAAAATATTGGGAGCTTAGAGTAGGAAGTAATATTTAGCAAACATAGAATATAAAAGGGGCTGTTCATGTAGAATTGGAAAATATGTGGAGCCAAGAGGAGTTTTGAGTGGCCGAGGGCGCCATCGTCTCCTCAAAGATTACTCTTGAATATTTGTTTAAATAAAACAATCACGACTGAAACATTTACTATTAAAACATGTAACAATGATCTAACTCCTATATAATGTTATATGTGACAAACTTATAACATGACAAACTTATATATGTGACAAGTGTGTAAAATTTCATCCTTTCACATGATAATGCACTGTCCAAGACTATCGGAGGATTCCTTGTTTATATCGCTCACTAGAATATTAAGCAATCATAGCAAAATATTCTCAGAAAAGTATAATCCTGCAAATGTCTACTAATCTTGGCTTTGTCTCCCAGCAACAATCTTCTTAATTTCAACATTTGATTCCTTGGTCCCAGGGAAACCTTACGTTCTTCCTTTACACAATAATTCTTTCCTTGGTCAAAGGAACCAAATACTTGAACAGATGATTAATTCGAGGGTATTTTATTTGTTTCCAGTTATGATCCAGAGACTAATCCTCAGATTGGGCCAGACCCTAGCATTAATCCTTGTAGCATGATTGTTTTCATTTCTTCATGTCCAGTATTCACATATTTGGTTATAGGGTAGATATCTCAATTTGTCACTATTAAGGCCCTGGAACTAAGTCATCACAGGCAGGGCCAGACACCTGAGCTAATTTTGGTAGCATAATACTTTTTTATATGCATGCCCAACAATTATATAGAATATACGATATGGGGTGGGGATCTCGACAGTTTCCATGTTAAAATCAAAGGGCTAAGTATTGAGGGCAAGGATGGACACAAGACCAATCATTGTAGCATCGTTGCACTTGTCCGTCATTGCCAGAAATTGTATACAGTATATGGATATAGTGTGGGGACCTAACACTTTTCAGGTTGTTAGTAAGACCTAAAAACTTAGATCCCAACCCCCTGGATGGGGACAGACCTAACGCCAAATTGAGGTAACATACATGTATTCATCTAATGATGTTGAGGATATGTACGGTTACAAGGTGAGGATCTTGACCATTGCCAGGTTATGACCCAAAATGCCTATTATACCCCGGCCCTGGGTAAGGACAGAAATCAGAAAACTTCTGGTGACAAGTGTATATTAGCCTCTTCTTGCCCAGCTACCCAGCTATTGTATTACGGTATGGGATGAGGATCTCAACAGTTTCAATGTTATAAACTAATTTCCCTATTGGACCCCACCCCTGGTGTGATAATGGACCCCAGAGTAAAGTCTGGTTGCATGATTGTACTTGTGTTAATGTGTTAGGTATGGAGATATAGGGTGGGGATCTCCACCTTTTCCTAATTAAGACACACTTTCTCCCCTACATTTTTACAATGGTGAGTCCTCTTGGCACAAGGATGCTCTAGACCAAATATGGTTATTCGGTTATGTCAACAGCTAATCCAAAGTGTATATATATATAAATAAAGCTTATCCAATATATAATATTGCATATATCCATACACCATTGATAGTGATGTAGATGTTTAATGTAAATCCCTCATGTTTTTGTTAAAATGTTGCGAGTCCTTAGCACATGTCTCCTGTCAAGCATGGCAATATACAAAGGTAGGGTACCTGTTACAGTAACATGACACCCCGTCAGACTTGTATGAATATACCAACACACATTACAAACAGAAAGTAGACTCCCATACCAGGACACGAAGTGAAAGAAATAATTTACAAACACTTGTGATATTAATTTTAAATCAAATTTAAAATTCAATTTAACTAAAATTACTATAAATTTAATCTGACAATACAGTGAACTATTCTACACTGAAGATACAACAGGTTATTGTTTTAACCTTTTCATCCAGTAAACCATAATGGACTCATCCATATCAATACATGGTAGAGTCTATTGAAGTTACATGGCAAAATCTGCTACTGTATACTTAATTGTTTAGCTGGGGTTTTCCAGGTACAGTATATATATTTGTATGCACATTTATGTTTAATTATTGCGTGTGTAACAAGAATACTGGTGGCCTAGCCAGAAGTAGGCACACAATATAAAACACTTGTTTACTAAGGATGTAGTCTTGTAAAGTATAAAAAGGTTCAATGGCCTGTCAAGACCATGAAGGGAAGCAGAAGATTATGGTGTGTGCATCCTGTAACATTGCTGTGTGTGAAATATGTATAGAAACCAGACACTATGGACACAGACTTAACACCCTCAAAACAGCAGCCAACACTGTTGTCAGTGATCTCAAAAAACTGACTGAAAACCCATGTTTTACCACACTGGAGAAAGATCTTGGGGATTTGTCCACATTACGAAGAAGGGAAAGTGAGAAAGCTGTCAAAACAAAGCAAGAACTTCTGGACAGACGAGATGAACTCAAACAAGTACTGGATGAGGTGACAGAAACAGCTGTGACGAAACTAGACCAGCACAATGAAAATCTGTTCAAGGAATTAGATGAAGCCAAAGACAAAGCCATGGAACAATCACAAAAAGTTAGTGATTTTAAGAGTGAAGTCGAAAGGCTACAGTCTTCTCAGAATTATCTGAAAGTTGTGGAAGAGGGAATGAAAATTCAAACTCCAGAAATTTCTCCATTGGTGTTCCCCAGAGTATCCAGACTTATATTCCAGTCAGCTATGTCAGGGTATGCAACTAACATAGAGATGTTGTTTGGGGAGCTGGTACAGCAGGACTTGTATGCTCTGACCACCTTCCACCCAGACGGTGCATTTTATACACCTGTGTTAGGACACTACAATCCAAACCCTTCACCTATGTCTAGTATCTGTAGCGTTGACCTATTTGGGGATGGACCTGACGGAGCCATTTCAAACCACACACAACAAACTGATTCAACAGAAGTACCTACACATCTCAAATTAACACAGAATGCTCAAAGTTTCAAATGTGATGTGATACTCACACATAAATGTTCATTTAAACTTCATTCTTGTCCAAAGGTGATGAAACCAACAGCAGAATGTTACTGTTGGATCAGACATATTGAAGGTGTGAACACAATTACACTTGTCTCTACAAATGGTGATGTTATGAAGAGTGTGACCTGCACCACGAAAGTATATGACATTTTGTCGTTACCAAACCAACTCTTATTTACCACTAACAAGAAGTGTATCAGGCAGATGGCGATGGAAAAAGGTAAATATACACTTTCCAGCTCTAAATGGATTGATACAGATTCGTTTACTCCTCACTGTATGTGTGTGACATCGAATGGCGATATCCTAGTGACAATGACAGACAAAACATCCTGGTCTATAGACCCCAACTCTACATCAGTACTGGTCAAGTACAGCAGCAAAGGAACGGAACTGGCTAGAGCTCACAAGGATGGACATGGTCAAGACCTGTTCTTTGTTCCAACTAACATTAGCACCAGTGACACAGGCACAGTAGCTGTNTTTGTTCCAACTAACATTAGCACCAGTAACACAGGCACAGTAGCTGTCGTTAATATTACCGGCCTAGTTCCACAAGCAAGTCATTTGATGGTGTTAAATAACAGCCTTAATCTGACACACAGATACATTTGGCATGGATTAACAGTTCCTGCTGAAGAACAGCTACCTGAACTAACAGAAAAGTTCAGAATTACGCATGTGTTGTTCAACCACCTCGGCCTCTTAATAATCTCTGAGTTATACTCGCGGACAGTGCAGCTGTTAGATCCCAAGTGTAACCTGCTGAAGGTTTTGGTTACTGATCTCCATGATTCCCCATGTTCTCTTGCTCTGCATGCTGATGGGGATATGTGGGTGGGTTTACAGGATGGAACAGTTAATGTGTACAAACACACATGTGACTTTACATCTGAGGAGCCATAACAAATCCAAATACGATAGGAAAACATGTACAGCAGTTACCTTAGACTTAGAACACCTGTGGGTTTGTCAGAGAAATCATCACGTCAGAAGCTATTAGTTGTCCGTTCTAATATTGTTTGCTGAGCTCATCAAAATGTTATACAGATAACAGAGTGCATAGTTGTTAATTCACAACAAAAGAGTGTTACTGTGTGCTACGCTTTGGTCATAAAAATGTATATATGACATAAATATCATATTCTCAACAAGATATGTTGTTAATCATAAATTATCTCAATATATAGTAGTAGTAGATATGTAGTCAATAACTATGTTGTCAATAAGATATGCAATCGGTTAGTAATATGTTGCCAATGATGATGTTTGTTGTAGTAAACATAACTTCATCTCCACTGAATACCACTATGATCATCACCTTGTCTAATGTCTTAGAGTATATGTAGTGGCATTTGTAGAATGTCGGTCAGATCAATGCTATAGCAATGCTTTGGGAAACTGGTTATGGGGTAAATTGAAACTTGGATGCAATGGATGGAGGGTTGAAACTTNTATGGGGTAAATTGAAACTTGGATGCAAAGGATGGAGGATTGAAACTAGGTGAGGGGGAAGGGGGCAATCTGTAGAATGTTCAGTATTACAGGGCCAGAAAAGGTCCTGTCAAGCTCACGGCAGACAAAATGCTTTGTAGAAAGTTCTGCTAAGGTGACTTGAAATGGTGTTTGTAATCTATCAAATGCTGATTTCATGTTTACGAATGATGTCGATAGATTGATTTAAATAAACATCTGGAATAAAGCATGACGTCAGTGTTTATTGTTTAGGGACAGGGACAGAAATGATACAAACGCACAGCTTGTTGTGAAAGGAAGACATTAAGGCATCACATGACAAATCTTTGCACGCGCAGAAGAACAGCTCGATTTTGATAATTAGGTTATTTAGGTCTCCTTGCTTACTGTAAGGATGCTTAGGAAAATGCCGAAAGGTCTTTCCTAACTTTACTAGGTAGAATAGATATAATCAACATATGTTTGTATTTTATGGTAGAAATTATAACAGTAACTCAAAAGAAAGTTGTAAAAATAATCAACTCAGGCGGCAAGTGGCCTTTTTTAATTATCGTTCTCCAACATCTCATTGCTATATATTTCTGAGGATTGTAAATGTAAGCGAAGCTAGATATAGACATCAATTGTTATATTCTGCAGAAAATGAATTTTGTAATCTTGATCTGTACTGAAGAAAGATCCCAGACAAAGTGAAAGACAGAATCATATTAAAGTGGAGGAGAAAAGGAAGTATTATCAATGTTTTACGCATGTCTTGGTCAAGTGTTCAGTCATAAATATCACCTTGTTCAGTTTACACCATAAACTAATATGATAAAGGTGCTACATAGAGATAAACACTTGTGTAGATTCTACTTTGTGACCTGAAAATCAGTCCCAAGGGGCGGGTCAGATCACGGTTGTATGTTTATGTTCTTTTCTTCGTGCCCAGCATGTGTATTGATATTTGTTGTCAAGACATTTTTGAGGGCAAAAAGGCGAAAGTTAAACCTGTAGTGAAATTTTCTTGGTATACAGTACGTAACTAAAGACCCTTTTAGCAAGGCTGTTGCATGGGTCATGTTACACCATTGAATGAAACATATACATAAGGAAACATGCAAATCTTGTCTCTGTAAGTTAGAAATACTTTGTATTCAGGAGTTGTATTGCACGATTTATCTGAGGATCAGATAGAAAACTTTAACCTAAACCCCGCTGCACATCTTTAAGAGGTTTATGTCATTGTATCNACTTTGTATTCAGGAGTTAGATTGCACCATTTATCTGAGGATCAGATAGCAAACTTTAACCTAAACCCCGCTGCACATCTTTAAGAGGTTTATGTCATTGCATCTCCTATTTCCTCAAACAAAAATCTTAAGAATTCCTTGTAGAGTATCACAATCCCATCTCTATCTCTCTCCCTCCTTACAGGAATATCTGTGGAATTATTTGCCGTATCACAATTTTATCTTTGGAATACGTCAGTTATCACATTAAAACAAATCCATAAGTGTGAGGTCACAATGTCGTTTCTTTAGAAGTCTTATCCGTCCAAGATATCAAAATATCTGCAAAGTAAAACCACGAAATCAAACAATCCATAGTTTCAATTTTGAATTCTTACCGTTTAAGAACGTTTAGAAACAACGATTCTCTATTATGGAGAATTAAACTCCTCATTTACATTACAGTCATCATAATCACCAGCAACACAAACCGCAAGCATCACAACTCTATTTCAGTCATATACCTAGTCACAAACATACATTTGCATTCACACATACACACAAAAAGAGAGGAGAGAGAGACAGACAGATGGGAGAAAGTGTTTTATATGGAAAAATAAAAAATCAAACAAAGGAGCTAAACAGCCGATGTCAGTCTTGGGGACAAAACCAGTAGAAGCTACATAAAGAATGTACATGCTCTCTAAGTTTTACTGTAGTGTGACGATGTTTAGCCTGCCCCGTCGTAAACAATTAATAGACATAGTTATTCCACCTGAATAATAAAAATACTTTTCTCAAACTAGGATGATTTTTAATCTTCATTTTGGAAGTCCTTCTGGATATGAAACAGGGTTAAATATATAATGTATTACTTGTACGTTGAAATATATTGTTGGAATATTATATCAATCTAAAAGTGTAATGATGCACTCCAAACTGAACAGAGGAAACCACTCATAATTCATACATTTTCTGTTGGCGGTTCTAAAGGGATAACAAGCATTTTTTTCACAAAGATCTAAGTACATTTACACTAACACTATCTTTGCAAGGATATATACCAACTGAACATTGTTTTAAAATCACCATCTTTATAATGCAAAGAGACATGTCAAATATTTAAATTCAGGTCAAGACAGGTCAAGGTGGTGCTACTTTTATACAACTCTTACAAAAACTAAAGACTGTGACCCACATATGGAGTATAAAGAAAAAATACTCAAAACACAACACTGTATTTATGAAGTTAAATGCATATTTTATTTTTTGTCATTAATACAAAATGTGTTTAATATACATTTGTATCACATTCTCGTCATCATGTATAATAAACTTCTTCAAAACATTTATGACAAACAGTAATACATGGTTGTACAATGTTCACAACCTACATTTTAGCTAAGACAGCATAGCCAATATTAAATGCAGTGTAGTTTTACTTAAAACAACTAGGTGTCACCCTGGTAAACATACAGACTTGGCTAGGGAGAAGTTCTCTTAAGCTTACCAGAGGTCCGGGTTTTTGTCTCCTAACGGATATATTGAAAAGAAACAATAACCTCTGTTGGATTGGCACCCACGTAAAGACCCATGAAATATTGACAAAAATACTCGATGATACTTTCACAAGAATCACTATGACCCCTTGAAAACTTCGGATGAGTTTTCTCCTGAAGGGGAAGTATGTCAATCTGGTAAAATATTAGCTGCTTCGTATCCTAGCGACTTGGCAAGGGAGAACTTCTGTTCGGGTCATTCACAGAGCATAAGACTACCATAGTAAACCAGATGTCAGGGTTCAACTGCTAGTCAAAACAATGAAAAACTAATGACCTCTTTTACAATGGTACCTAGGTAGAGACCAATGAAATATTGACCAAAATACTCAATGATACTTTCACAAGAATCACTATGATCCCTGAAAAACTCTAGTTTAGATCTTTCCTGGAAGGGGAGTATGTCACCCTGGTAAATTACTAACACTTTCTACTGACTTGCCTACTATAAAATTTCTTTTTGTGTTCATTCACTAGAGCACATATCATGGAAAATATTGGGAGCTTAGAGTAGGAAGTAATCTTTAGCAAACAGAATATAAAAGGGCCTGTTCATGTAAAATTAAAGGAAAATCAGAAAATATTAGGAGCCAAGAACAGTTTTGAGCGGGCGAGGGCGCCTTGGTCTCCTCCAAGATTACTCATGAATGATAGTGTGAAATAAAACAATCAGGACTGAAACATTTACTATTAAACATGAAACAACGATCGAATTCCTATATAATGTTATATGTGACAAACTTATAGCAAACATTCATATTTCGTTAAAACAAAAGCAAGGAAATAATTTGATGTATGACCAGTGTACATTACTTATTACTTTCACATAATACACTGTGTCATATTATCTGAGGGTACATTGCTTATATAACAAGAATCCCATAGGGCCTTTATACACTCGACTTATTTTCAACATTTGATTCCTTGGTCCCAGGGAAGCCTTGACCTAATCCTGGTAGCATCATTGTTTTTAACTCTTCATGCCCAGTAAGCACCTATATATGTATTTGGTTAAAGGGCAAAGTCTCAGATGTTATAGCCCTGGGACTAGGTTACCAAGGGCAGGGCCAGACCCCTGAACTAATTTGGTAGCATAATGATGTTTTTCTTACAATTGCATAGAATATACAATATCGGGTGGGGATCTCGACTGTTTTCATGTTATGATCAAAGAGCTAAGTATTGAGGGCAAGGATGGACACAAGACTAACCGTTGTGNTATACAATATCGCGTGGGGATCTCGACTGTTTTCATGTTATGATCAAAGAGCTAAGTATTGAGGGCAAGGATGGACACAAGACCAACCGTTGTAGCATGACTGCATTCGTCTTTTCATATCCAGATATTGTATATAGTATATGGACATAGGGTGGGGACCCTTGGATGGGGACAGATCCCATGGCAAATTGAGTTAACATTGTTGTGTTCCTCTAATGATGTTGAGGATATGTACGGTTACAAGGTGAGGATCATTTCCAGGTTCTGACCTAAAATGCCTGTTATGAACCAAAATGCCTATTATGCCCCGCCCATGGGTAAGGACAGAAATCAGGAAACTTCTGGTGACAAGTGTATATTCTTCTTGTCCAGTTACTGTATTACAGTATGGGATGAGGATGTCAACAGTTTCAATTTTATGAACTGATTTCCCTATTGGACCTTATCCCTGGGGTGGGAATGGACCCCAGAGTAAAGTTTGGTAGCATAAATGTATTTGTCGAAAGGTGTCGAGCATGGAGATATAGGGTGGGGATCTCCACATTTTCCTAATTAAGGCATACTTTCTCCAATCAGGGAAAACAATCCTCCATTTTTACAAAGTTGAGTCCCCTTGGCACAAGGATGCTCTGGGGAAAAAATGGTTATCTGGGTATGTCAACAGCTAACAAAAAGTATATGTCAAAAGCTTATCCAATGTATAATATTGCATATCCATACACCACTGATAGTGGTGTAGATGGGTTGTTCTCAGTTCCCCCACTTTTTAGAGAACAAAGAAAATTGCTGATAAAGGACGACAACGGCAGACCAATTATAGTCTGTTTCATACTTACCCCACAGGTAACTTACCTGTGTGAAAGTTACCTGTCTGACTATTGCTTTTCTGTGTATGTGATATGTAAGGTATTATTTGGATATGTATTTTGTACGTTTTAATAAATTTTTGGGGGTATGAAATTGGTAAAATAAAATAATAAACACTTAATTGTCTGTTTATCAAATTTTAGGTTAATGATTTAAAATTCATTTATGCATAAACACATGATACAATCATTACATACATGATGTACAATACAGATATAACAACAACTAAATAGTAAGAGTTTACAGTCAAATATATCAATTCTTATACATCACATTTCATTTACATTACACTTTTCAGACCACCAAATACAAGACAAGCTAAGATATGTACTTAAAGAGCTATGGCAGAAAACTGCCCATATTTCCCCAAGTCGGCAATTATGAATACCGGAAAAAAGTTTATCAATAAACAATTTCTGGTAGCGAAAATGCACGGAATAGATATCAAACCAATTGAATATGAACTTATGAACTGCTGAGATATTAGATATTGTTAATATGATACTCTAAATATAGCCATATTCATCTATGAAAATGATGGCGTTTCCCAGACTTGAAAAAAACCCATTTCATCAGGTCCAACTGTTGATTACATTTGTTGATTCCGTGATGTAATGTCCAAAAATAAATTGTCTGACGGGAAAGTGGTCCTCTTTTGGCTGTTTGGGAAAGTGTTCAAAATTATAAAAATCATGGTTGATCAAGTTCCTCAAAACTGCTACAGGTGTTTCTTGGGTTAAAACAGATTGTATTTCCATATAAGTGTATGTCCGGTGTAGCCGAATGTGTAACGCAGTTTACTTTTTAACATTTAGGCATGTGATCTTTTTCCTTAATCAAGTAATGAAATATTTTTCTAATCAACTGAACATTTTATTGGACATACATATTGATTTATTTTCTATGGAATCATGTCATCGAATTCCTGTACACGTGTACAGTAGAGCTTCGCTTAGTAGATAAGACATTATTTTATCATTTTAAATGATATTTATTAATTGTTTTACCCTCCGATTGGCACTAGTTATTTTATCTATTATTGAAACACGAACAAATGATGCCGAAACANGCCATGTTGTTTATCCGATCAGTCTCAAAAGTTGCCCTGCATAGTTAAGGACCAAGGGGAACCTACATATAAAATATGAAAAAGATCCCTCTGGTATTTCTTGAGAAATAGCGATAATAAACTTTCAATATCAAAATCCAAGATGGCTGCCTGTCGGCCAGGTTTTTTATCCGATCAGTCTCAAAAGTTGCCCTGCATAGCTTAAGACCAAGGGGAACCTACATATAAAATTTGAGAAAGATCCCTACAGTCCTTTTTGAGAAATAGCGATAACAAACTTTCACTATCAAAATCCAAGATGGATGCCTGTCGGTCATGTTGTTTATCCGATCAGTCTCAAAAATTGCCCTGCACAGCTAAGGACCAAGGGGAACCTGCATATAAAATTTGAGAAAGATCCCTATGGTACATCTTGAGAAATACCGATAACAAGAATTGTTTACGGACGGACGACGGACGACAGACGACGGACGGACGACGGACCAAGGACGCAGGGTGATTTGAATAGCCCACCATCAGATGAATGTGGGCTAAAAACACAGGTAAATACAGGTAAATACTGCCAGTACTTATAAGAAACAGACTATAATCCTTCTAACAACTTTCTCCTCCCCATGTTATTTTAAAAAGTGGGGGAACTCAGAACAAGCCGTGTAGATGTTTAAAGTATTAATCCCTGAAATTCATGAAGCCCCAAACTCATCACTGAAAGGGATGAAGAAGGCAACCAGGAGGTTGCCTAAAGCTACCCATGAGTAGCATTTAGTTGGAACCACAGTTACATGTTCGTTTCATATAAATATCTCATGTTTTTGTTAAAGGGTTCAAAGTCCTTAGATAGTCTCTAGTCAGGGATGTCTATATACAAAGGTAGGGTACCTGTTAAAGTAACATGACACCTGCGTCAGACTAGTATAAATATACCAACACACATTACAAACAGAAAGTAGACTCCCATACAAGGACAAATTGTGAAAGAAAGTTAAAACAAATATGAAATTCAATTAAAATAAAATTACCATAAATTTACAGTTCAATCTGACAATATAGTGAACTGTTCTACACTCATAAATCAGGTTGTTGTTTTAACCTTTTCACCCAGTAAACCATACTGGAATTACCCAGGTCAATACCTGGTAGAGTCTACTAATGATACATAGTGGTGAAAGGATTTAAAGGTTGGTTTTTCCAGGTACATTTATGTGTATGTACACACATGTTGAATTATAGCGTGTGTAACAGGTATAAGTTTTACTCAAAATGGTGGTCTACCCAGAAGTAAGGCACACAATATAAAACATTTGTGTACTGAGGTTGTAGTCTTGTTAAGTATAAAAAGATTCCAATGGCTTGTCAATACCATGAAGGGAAGCAGAAGATTATGGTGTGTGTACCCTGTAATATTACTGTTTGTGAAATATGTATAGATACCGGACACTATGGACACCCACTTCACTCATTCAAAACAGCAGCCAACACTGTTGTCAGTGATCTAATAAAACTGACTGAAAAACCATGTTTCACCACACTGGAGAAAGATCTTGGGGATTTGTCCACATTACAACGAAGGGAAAGTGAGCAAGCTGTCAAAACAAAGCAAGAACTTCTGGACAGACGAGATGAACTCAAACAAGTACTGGATGAGGTAACAGAAACAGCAGTGACGAAACTAGACCAGCACAATGAAAATCTGTTCAAGGAATTAGATGAAGCCAATGACAAAGCCATGGAACAATCCCAAAAAGTTAGTGATTTTAAGGGCGAAGTCAAAAGGCTACAGTCTTCACAGAATTATCTGGAAGTTGTGGAAGAGGGAATGAAAATTAAACCTCCAGAAATTTCTCCATTGGTGTTCCCCAGAGTATCCAGACTTATATTCCAGTCAGATATGTCAGGGTATGTAACTAACATAGAGATTTTGTTTGGGGAGCTGGTACAGCAGGACGTGTATGCTCTGACCACCTTCCACCCAGACGGTACATTTTCTAAACCTGTGTTAGGACACTACAATCCAAACCCTTCTCCAGCCTCCAGTGTCTGTACCGTTGACCTATTTTGGGAGGGACCTGACGGAGCCATTTCAACCCAGACACAACAAACAGAGGTACCCACACAACTCAAATTGTCACAGAATGCTCAAAGTCTTAAATGTGATGTGAAACTGACACATAAATGTTCATTTGAACTTCCTTTTGGTCCATTTTTGATGCAAACAACAGCAGAAGGTAACTGTTGGATCAGATATCGTGAAGATTTTAACACAATTACACTTGTCTCTACAGCTGGCGATGTTATCAAGGATGTTTACTGCACCACGAGAGTATTTGGCATGTTGTTGTTACCAAACCAACTCTTCGTGGCCTCCCTTGATAAGAAGTGTATCAGACAGATGGAGATGAAAAAAGGTAAATATACACTTTCCAACTCTAAATGGATTGATACAGATCCTTTGACCCCTCACTGTATGTGTGTGGCATCGAATGGTGATATCCTAGTGACACTGACAGACAAAACATCCTCTTCTATAGAACCAAACTCTACATCAGTACTGGTCAGGTACAGCAGCAAAGGAAAGAAACTGGCTAGAGCTCACAAGGATGGACATGGTCAAGACTTGTTCTTTGTTCCAAATAACATTAGCACCAGTAACACAGGTACAGTAGCTGTCGTTAATGTTACCAGCATAGTTCCACGAGCAAGTCATTTGGTGGTGTTAAATAACAGTCTTAATCTGACACACAGATACATTTGGCATGGATTAACAGTTCCTGCTGAAGACCAGCTACCTAAACTAACAGAAAATTTCAGAATTTCTGATGTGTTGTTCAACCACCACAACCTCTTACTAATCTCTGAGATTTTCTCGCGGACAGTACAGCTGTTAGATCCCAAATGTAACCTGCTGAAGGTTTTGGTTACTGATCTCGAGCATCCCCCAAGTTCTCTTGCTCTGCATGCTGATGGGGATCTGTGGGTTGGGTTAAAGAATGGAACAGTTAATGTGTACAAACACACATGTGACTTTACATCTGAGGAGACATAACAAATCCAAATACGATGGGAAAACATGTACAGCAGTTACCTTAGAACACCTGTGAGTTTTTTTCAGAGAAATCATCACGCCAGAAACTGTTAACTGTCTGTTCTAATAGTGTTTGATGAGCTCATCAAAATGTTATACAGATAACAGAGTGCATAGTTGTTAATTCACAACAAAGGAGTGTCACTGTGTGCTACGCTTGCTTTGGTCATAAAAATGTATTTTGGACATAAATATCTTGTTCTCAAAAAGATATGTTGTTTATCATAAATTGTCTCAATCAGGTATTACGTCAATTACCTATATTGTCAATCAGTTATGTAACCAGTGAGTCATGTTTGTCAATCAAGTATGTTGCCAATTAAATATGTTATACAGATTTGTCATGCAGTAAACATTACTCTACCTCCACTGAATACTATTATGATCACCACGTTGATCATAGAGAGTATGTGTAGTGGCATTTGCATTATATCAGTCAGATCAATGCTATAGCAATGCCTGGTACAACTGGTTATGGGGTAAATTGAAACTCGGATGGAGGGATAAAGCTGGGTGGGGTAAAGGGACAATCTGTAGACTTTTCAGCATTACAGGGCCAGAAAAGATCACTCATTCATCGAAAGATATCTCAAAAATATCCTTGGGATGGCTACGAGAAAGCTTATTAGCGCGCTGTCCCCTGTACCTACTAGCCAGCTATCAAGACCCTGGGGCTTATAACCCAGAGTTAATTTGCCCTTCACATGTAATGATTACAAACTATGTTGTGTATTAATATTTGTTGTCAAGACTTTTTGGAGGGCAAAAAGGCGAAAGTTAAACCTGTAGTGAAATTTTCTTGGTATACAGTACGTAACTTAAGACCCATTTAGCCCTAGCAAGGCTGTTGCATAGGTCATGTTACACCATAAAATGGCAAATATACATAAGGTAACATGCAAATCTTGTCTCTGTAAGTTAGAAATACTTTGTATTCAGGAATTCGATTGCTATCTGGTCTCTGTAAGTTAAAAATACTTTGTATTCAGGAGTTAGATTGCACCATTTATCTGAGGATCAGATTGCAAACTTTAACCCAAACCCCGCTGCACATCTATAAGAGGTGTATGTCATTGCATCTCCTATATCCTCACACAAAAATCTGAAGGATTCCTTGTAGAGTATCACAATCCCATCTCTATCTTTCTCTCCCTCCTTACAGGAATATTTGTAGAATTCTTTGTCGTATCATAATCTTATCTTTGGAACACGCCAGTTATCACATTAAAACAAATCCATAAGTGTCAGGTCACAATGTCGTTTCTTTAGAAGTCTTATCCGTCCAAGATATCAAAATATCTGCAAAGTAATAACACGAATGTTTAGAAACAAAATTTCTCTATTATGGAGAATTAATCTCCTCATTTACATTATAGTCGTCATAATCACCATCAACACAAACCACAAGCATCACAACTTTATTTCAGTCATAAACCTAGTCATAAACATAGAATCAGAAGAGAGACAGAGACAGAGACAGAGAGACAGAGAGACAGAGGGAGACACAGAGAGACAGAGAGACACAGAGAGACAGACACATGGGAAACATTGTTTTATATCGAAAAATAAAGCATCAAAGAAAGGAGCTAAACAGCCGATGTCAGTCTTAGGGACAAAACCGGTAGAAGCTACATAAAGAATGTACATGCTCTCTAAGTTGGACTGTAGTGTGACCATGTTTAGCCTGCCCCGTTGTAAAGAATTAATTGACATAGGTATTCCCTCCTTAATAATAAAAATACTTTTCTCAAACTAGGATGATTTTTAATCTTCATTTTGGAAGTCCTTCTGGATATGAAACAGGGTTAAATATATAATGTACTTGTACATTGAAATATATTGTTGGAATATGATATCAATTTAAAAGTGTAATGATGCACTCCAAACTGAACAGAGGAAATATCACTCATAATTCATACATTTTTTGTTGGTGGTTCTACAGGGATAACAAGCATTTCTTCACATAGATCTAAGTACACTTACACTAGCACTATCTTTGCAAGGTTATATACAACTTCATGTCACCCTGGTAAACCTACAGACTTGGCTAGGGAGAAGTTCTCTTAAGCTTACCAGAGGTCCCGGGTTTGAAATAATAACCTCCGTTACATTGGCACCCACGTAAAGACCCAGGAAATATTGACAAAAATACTCAATGATACTTTCACAATAATCACTATGACCCCTTGAACACTTCGGATGAGTTCTCTCCTGAAGGGGGAGTATGTCACCTTGGTAAAATATTAGCTGCTTCGTTTCCTAGTGACTTGGCAAGGGAGAACTTCTGTTCGGGTCATTCACAGAGCATAAGACTACCATAGTAAACCAGATGTCAGGGTTCAACTGCTAGTCAAAACAATGAAAAACTAATGACCTCTTTTACAATGGTACCTAGGTAGAGACCAATGAAATATTGACCAAAATACTCAATGATACTTTCACAAGAATCACTATGATCCCTGAAAAACTCTAGTTTAGATCTTTCCTGGAAGGGGAGTATGTCACCCTGGTAAAATACTAACACTTTCTACTGACTTGCCTACTAAGAATTTCTTTTTGTGTTCATTCAGTAGAGCACAAAGTTAGTAAACAAAATACCTTGGGTTCAACTCCTAGCGAATGCACCGAAAATTATGACCTCTGATACATACACATTATTTCATGCAAATTAAATGCACACACCTTCTCTCTGGTAATCTCTGGGTGGCAAAACATGCCGCCGGAAGTTAAGTCAACCACATCGATACCAAACATAGGTGCAATGGGTACGCTCATCAACATTCCCTATATTCTGACTGTACAGTGAGTTCAAGAAAAAAAATGTTCATATAGTTCATTTATAAACAACCAGAACAATATGATACAGTTTAATAAATGCTATTTATTAACTGTAGAGGTATGCATTGTTATCATGACCAACATTGTTGTATATGTCTTATAAATCAGCATACACATGTTTATACATATAACAGAAGAAATAAACAATACACAATATATATACATTTCATGATGATCTACATTTAGGTTTGGCCTTGGGGGCTATATCATACTACACATATATAAGCTATGGAAATCTCACGGATTACTGACGTTATCCTACCAGGAGTGAACTTTCACCCCTTGTCCCAGGATTACTGCCAATATATCCCCCCAGGAAAACATTGTTGATTTTTAAGTATTAAGGTGTGTTAGATACATGTGGATAAATATCATATATTATCTTAATACCAGCATGTGTACCAAAATTTAGGTATACGTAATGCTGTCAGGTTATATTTATAGATACAGAACAAAGAACATAGCTCAACAGTCTCCTACACTCTTCTTATACGTGATAATATGGTAAAAATTAGATTAGGGATGCTGCTGATTGGCTTAAGTTATCACTAGGCAGGTCAAGGTTAATTACCATTGGTCAAGAGGTTAGCCACGCATAATTAATGAGATGACCAACAAAGGTCAGCGTCACCCCGCACTGATTTAAGAAACTATCGGAGCGAGCGGACGCATTTTACATCAGCTTACCGCCATCCACCCCAACCTCCACCTTACAAAATGTATAATTATTACAGTGTATACATGTATACTGCAGCATCAGTTTCTTGAGTACATTATTTACATACGTCTGCAAGTGTACCAAGGAGTACAGTAGCATAAGTAAACGGAGCAATTCGTTCAAATATACAGATAAAGATGAGTAAAATGGGTACCTGAAAACCATAAAGACATCAGACAACAAAGTTTGTTAAAATGAAACTGCTAGTGTCTTGTATACTCCTCTAAATGTGGTATATTTACTGTTCCCTTCCTTTGAGAAACTGTGGTAGCAGAGTACAGTAGAAATGGCTTGATCCTAAAAATAAAGAGCATGTCTCAGATAAACATGGATAGCGGATTTATCCTGCACAACACACCTACATATATATATATATTTATAAACTACATTTTGAATACATTTTTTTTAGAAGAATGAATTTTTTTTCAAAAGTGATTTCCCCAGATTTGAGATTTGTGAAAAACCATGGTTTTCACATCAAAAAACGCCAAAAAATGCAAAAAAAACCCGTGATTTTTAACCCAAAATTTGACCCACGCAAGTAGTAATTCTTTTCTTAAAACCTGTCTGTCGGTAACAGAAATACTCACGTTTTAGCATAGGTCGTTCAACTGGATTTTTCACAATATTTACATATGTGCCAAGTTCAAAAATAGACTACATTTTTTAAATGTGAAGCCTACATAGTCCACTTTAACATGTATATGCCAATTGTACAACAATATCACCCATGGCCACCGTACGCTACTGCACACAGCTACCTGTCAGTAGTGACTCTGGCAAAAAAAACCCATTAAATACATGTTTAACTACACAATTGGCTTTTGGGTACATCAAAGAATCTCACTTGTTAATCAAACCATGACCAGAGGTTTTACAATACCTGGTACAGCAACAGTTTTAGCATCCATTTCTGTTGTTATTAAAATCGAAATAATTATTTGTGTATCAAAAAATGTTAGGAATCAATCCTTTAATAATATTTTAGAAAGGTAGCTTTATTATTCAGGGTGAGAAGCATTTTATTGCCATTTTATGGAAAATCACCAAATTAAATATATATTCCAGTTTAGGTAAAGAGTACCATGACACTGCATTAGTTATAATTGCAAAGAAGAGTTCCATTCAGACTGTTTTCCAGTATATGTAGAAGATGAAGCAACCAAATAAGGTTTTCTGGTTTAGAGTTACTTCCCTTACATGTAGGATACAAATAGACCTGTTTAATTCTTTAAGTATTCTTCTCTTTTTTAAATCAAATCCTTTCATTACTAAAAATGGCTAAAATTAGTCATATATACAGGATAAGATATGAAATGTAACATGTACTAAAATTTATATATATAATAATTAAGATATTGTGAATTGTACGGACAAATTATAATACCATTACCAAGTTTGCTTTATATAAAGAACTGAAAAAAATACATTGGAACACTGATTGATGAAATAAACAATAAAGGTACAAGACATGTAATGTAATGGTTTAAAAATACCTACAATAATGCAATATACATACCACGATGAAAAGAGGACATAAAATAGAAAAGAAGCAGGAAAATATCACTTTGTTTAGGCAGATCATGGAACTATAAATATAATTATCTAAACAGTAAAACCCTTACACACATACTGTATACAATACTATACTGTACAGCTGTTACTACATACTGTACGCAATAGTACAAATGTTTATAACTAATGCTCTTTATGCTATGACTGATACCGCACAAGTTACATTTCCACAGCGATTCATTTGAAGCCCTGATCTGTGGGCGGCA